AGAGGAAGAAGGGGGTGCGCCCGAAGGCGCGGCCACCTGTGAGGGGGGGGGTGGCTGAAGGCGTAAGAAGGCGAGGTCGGCCCGGGTCTGGGCAAGCTCTTCCTCGAGACGTCGAACGTAGATCGAGCGAGGAGTAGCAGGAGGAAGAGTGGGGGATGTGGACGCACGAGCGGCGCGGGGCATCCCATAGGGGGGAGAGCCAGGTGGCGCTGCGGTCGTGCGAAGGGGAGGGAAAAGCGGGGCACCCGGAAAGTTGAGACCATGGCAGCGGGTTGTGGTCCCGTGGCCGTAGTGACCGGAATCTGGGCGGGTGCGCCCGTAGAGTGAGGGAGGGTCCGGCCGGTAGCGGCCGTCGCGTTAGGAGCGTGGACGGCCACCAGGATGGCCGGGTCGCCACCATGTCGGAGGACGGGGGACCTGGACTGGGAGCCAGGAGAAGAGAGAGAGTGGGGAGAGGAAGGGCGGCCAGTGTCCTGGAGTTGCCGCAAGCCAGCGGCAAGAGTCGCCATTTGCTCCTGTAAGGGCGCAAGGAGAGAGGTGATGAGGGTGTGCAGATCCCCCTGGGGCTGATGACCTTGGTCCGTCGGTACGGGTGTGGAGCCCGATGCCGAGATCGTCGCCGCTCGTGACGCGCCGTCGGCCGTGGGGAGGTAACGGGTCGGACGAGAGAGGGTCGGGGGAGGTCCGCATGAGCGGAGGGCGTAGGGGGAGGTCTGCGATAGAAGGCGACGGGCGGTGCTAGTAAATCGAGCACGGACGCCGTCAAAGGGGGAGGGGTGGTTCGGATCCAAGGTGGCCGAATGAGATGGGAAAGTAGGGGGGTTAGGAAAACCCTAAACCTTAGAAAAACCCTAAGAAAACCCTAACCGGAGTTTGAGTGGTTAGGGTAGGGTACCGGTGACCTAATCAAGAAAATGAAATAGCAAGCATAGGGGGGAAAGGCGGGAGGAAAAATAAATAAACAGCGAAATTTTGAGAGAAAATAAAAATTTAATAATAAATAAGGAAATAAATAAATAATAAAAATAATTAAAGAAATAAAGAAACAAAATGTGAAGAGAGATACTCTTTATTTATTTATTTTTTAGAATTTTCGACAGCATTTCCCTACCCCCCATGGGGTCAAGAATGTGCCAAGGAAAAGGAGAGACCAAGATAAGCATACCAGGTTTCAAAATGCCGCAAATTAAAAATTTCAGAAAATAAATAAATAAATAATAAAATAAATAAGTAGATGAGGAGGTGGAGAGAAATGAAGTATCTGATTTTTCAAAAATTTTGGCAGCATCTCGTGTCCGGAACTGGTGGGCTTTCCATTGGCGACAGATGGGAGGGAGGGATGTGGAGTGGAATGAGGAGTGGGTCCTGTTAGGCTTCGTCCCAGATCGCTGTACAGGGAAGAGAGGCTGGCCTTATGTAGCATAAGTGGTCAAAGCGGTAATCTGCTCAGTGATCTGGGCAGACAGGAACAGATCACGCTTTGAAGCCAGACCCATGGCAGATGTAAGAGATCAAGAGGGCAATTAAACAGGGCCTGAGACAGGCTATTCGGATGGATTGGTGGAAGAAGACAAAGAAAGGGAAAGGTCCAAGACATTCAATGTGGTGGTTCCTGAGAACCTGGGCAATGGGTAACCAGCTGGCAGGTATTCACCGCTCACAGGGCCTGAGTCTGTCCAAATGGTTAACAGAGGGATAGTCCTGGCAAAGAGTTCAGGCAAGGGGTTCCATCTGAGGGCTACAAGCTGTTTGCAGAGAAGACCACACCTCCCTGCTACTATGCTGTGGTCTGCGGAGGTTTGGCAGCTGGGGTTGAGACAGGGTGACGAAGACGGGAGTAGAGTAGGTGGAGATTATGAACCAGGGCATCTCGGTTCGGTTTGGACCGCGGGAGGTCACCTAGGGTGCGGGGTGGGAGAGTGCCATGGTTACCTGGAACGCAGTGTTCCGGTATCAGGCCGTGTAGGCCTGTTTATTAGTCTAGATTTAGGTAGGCTGAGACTAGAATTGCTTGATGATAAAACAATTGGTGGGGTGATATCAAAACAGATATCTAGACAGAAGGTTGGTTGGTGCTCTTATGACAGTTCAATCGGAAGATTGATAAATTGGGGAAGCCTGTAGCAGGCCTACCTGCAGGCAGACTGCCTGTAAGCGAAACTGGCTAATGCTGCCACAGTTGTATCAGGGTTGAATTGTGGGGACCCCGGCCCTATTTCGACTTGATTGATAATGAAAGTTAACTGTCAATCAAAAAAAAAAAAAAAAAAAAAAAAGGACCTCCCGAGCGGGTTTTCACTTCCGGGAGCACTCCCAAAAAAAATTCAAAGTCGGGAGTGGTGTGCCGAGGCCCTATACAACACCCGAATTCGTGAGTTCCCTAGGAGACACGGGCGCAGCACTACAAGACACAGGATAGCATTTTGTACGCCCAGACTCCAGGCTCTTTGTTCAAAAAGAGGGAAGGGTCCTTCGGGACATCCGTTAAAATTGGAACGATACAGAGAGAGACATTAGCATGGCCCCTGCGCATTCAAGGATGACACGCATAAATCGAGAAATGGTCCAAATTAAAAAAAAATAAAAAAAAAAAAAAAATAAAAAAAATGGCGGAAGGTATGTGGGTTCCTACGAGAACCTTCCACCACAGTACTTGTGCAGGCTGGGAGCTATACAAAACTGGACAGTCAATTTTCCACGGTATTTCTGACAAATGTCCACGCCATTTTGCACGCCGATAATGGACAGTAAGTGGAGCGACGTCCCACTGTCCATTTTCGTACAGTGGACAGTTGTGCAGCGAGGCCCACCTGTCATTTGTACAGTTATGGTGGCCCAACAAAAACTTTAAGGAAATGGAAGAAGTTACAGCCATGAATTGTGCCACATGAGGTCAGTCCTGGAGTTATGCTGTTTGTACAGGTATCCTGGCAGACATGTTCATAATACACAGTGGACATGATTCCGTCATCTGTACAGCTATGGTGGCTTAAAAAAAAAGGAAATGGACAGGACAGAGCAATCGCGATGGAAAAGAAAAGAACAAAGTAAAAGCACAGGACTTGACAGGCAGTGAGAAAAAGACCGCAAAAAACACAGTGGATATGACCGGCGTCACTTGTAGAGCTGTGATGGCTGACAGAGTAATTGTCACGTATGAAATACCCATGGACGACCGTTTGAGTAGGAACAGAAAAACCTCGGTCTTGATTTGTTTAGCTCCAGCGGTGCTGATGATGAAGGCTCCGATCACGGACCAGTGGTGTCGATGATGAAGGCGCTCATCATGGGCGGCCGGAGGAGGCTTGAGCGCGGAGAAAAGAAACAGCTCTGCGGAGCATGTCGTCTCTCTCTCTCTCTCTCTCTCTCTCTCTCTCTCTCTCTCTCTCTCTCTCTCTCATTTCATCGTTGCTGCCTGGATAGCGCTTCCCTTCGGTCATACCCCCGGTCCTGATTCCTGATCTCTTCCATCGCCTACCTTCCCCCCCTGCCCTCTCGTCATCTCGATCCCGATCCCCCCCCCCCCCCCTCTCTCTCTCTCTCTCTCTCTCTCTCTCTGTCTCTCTCTCTCTCTCTCTCTCATGTCGATGGAAGGAGGAGGAGAAAGCAGAGGAATGGAGGATCGGGACAGCCGAAAAGGACGGGAAAGAGGATCTGGTCGAAGTGCAGGGGGGAACTCGTCGTTATGTTCACTTTTCCCTCGTTCCCGTACAACGCATGTCGATGGAAGACGGAGCAGAAAGCGAGGGAATGGAGGCTCAGGACAGCCGAATATGGTCGAAGTGCAGGGTGGGGGGGAAAGATGATGGCAGGAATCGTTCCCCCTATCGCTCATCGTTGGAGGATCGGGACAGGCGAAAAGGACCTGATGGGGAGAACGGACGAGAAAGAGGACATGGTCGAAGTGCAGCGTAAGAAGGGGAAAAAAAAAAAAAAAAAAAAAAGACGATGACAGGAAGTCAACTTACCTTGATCACCCATCGCTAGACAATCCACTGTTCCCGCCAACTTGAACCTGCTCCCCTTTTTTTCCTTCTTTACTCCTCCGGGCCTCCGGCCGAGTCGTGTTTGCTCCCCTCGTCTTCGGCAGGCCCTTACTCCTTACGATCCTGCAATCTCACCTTGACTGTATCACCCTACACACGGATCAAGGGTCCTTCGTCTTCCCACCCGCCAATGTTCTTCACGCCCCTCACGCCTGTCTGCACCAAGTCACGATGCCACTCTATTCGGTCTTCTGGCCTTCGTCTCCTGGCACCTGCGTTCCCCTCCCGAGATCGCATCATCATCTCCACAAATCGCACTAGAATACCCCATTTACTTTCCATCATCTACTTTCCATCTAGTTTCCCGACAGCGCACGTCCTAATGCCGGAGGTCGCTGTCCCCGTTCGTGCGTCGAAACTTCCCGATGCCGCATCTGGGCCGAGGGCCCACTAGCAAAGAGGATCGGATCGAATGCCAGAATCTGGATGTGTTTCATGCAGAGATGCAGAAAAGCAGTTCAATATCGATTTCCTGCACCTCTACAAACACGTCCAGATGCAGGCAGTCGATCCGATCCTCTTTGCTAGTGGGACCACGCCCCTGCACGAACTTACCGACCGCACAGCGAGGACACGTTTTTTTTTCGTTTTTCTTTCTTTTCCGGCCCGGCCGGGCAAGTGAAACAGTGCCAATAGGTTTTCAGAGTGTGTGCTTTGATTTCGGTCCTGCGGACGGAAGTGGGGACGGCCCTGTGTGCTACTACGGCGCTCGGACCTAGTGTACGCCCATCGGTAACGACGGTGAGCTTCGCCGAAGCGACTACCAACTTCGTCAAGGCCGGGAATATGCATAGCGTCGCCTCGACGGCGCGACATAGCCTTGTTGCTATGGCTTCTCCTTGCCAGAAGCCCGGGTACGTCCACGATTGTAGTTTGTAGACTGAGCAGACTTATTAAGATTGAGAGGTTGAGAAGTATGACGCTCGAGTCGGATCAAGCCAGGAGCTATACGACGGATAGTAGTGGAGCATAGAAGTTGACGAAGCTTACTCTCGAAATTGCCTTCCCGTATTAAAATTCTAAAGCTAGCTGTTATCCTTTGGCGAAACAATAGAACTAAGTGCAGGTAATTACCCACTCATAGCGATGACGGAGGTAGAAATGACTCGAGGACCTCGCTCTCCCCCAGCGGCACCGGCGGAGACCGAGGAAGACAATGAAAGGCTACGAGAGTTGGCAAGACGATGCTATGGAGATGGGATTATGCCAGCAAGCATTGACCCGGGAGTAACGAGTGGCGAAGGGAGAGAAGTACGCTTCAAAGTGAACAGGCATATCGACCAAGTGAAGATCTCCTGGCTCAAGGAGCATACTGTTACTATTATCTTCCGGAATGGTGCTAGGTTTCTGTCGAGAAAAGTCAAAGAGGATATCGTGAGGGCATTCGAAGATGAGAGAAGTGCAGATGGATCACTTGACTCGGCCACTTTCAGCAGGGGGAGAGTCAAAGTAGAGAGTCCTAATGTAGTGTCGTATGTGGCGAAGAACGTGGCGGTCGCGAACTGGATGATTCTAAACGAGCGAGACGAGATTACAATTGGTCCGACGCGCTATGCCTTCGAATTTCAACCTTGGCTTACTAAGGCACAATTGAAGGCACAGAGGCAGGAGGAGGACGACTCAGTTTTTTGGGTCATCGCAGTCCAAGTCCCTCTCGATGCCTTTTTCTATTTGGAGGCGCAAGTCACACGAGCGATTGGACCAGTTGTTCGTGTCCACCCTGCAGAGCAAGACAGATTGAAGCCGGCGCTGATTAGTATTAAATTCGAGATTGATCCGGCGGCAAGAGACAATATGAGAGATAAAATCTGGGTGGATACATGTGAAGGAGATTTCTTAGAAGTCAAGTTGGCTTCTGTCGAGACGCCAAGATGCAGGAGATGTAGAGCGTTTTTCCATACGGAAGCTGAGTGCAGACGAAATCGTCAACAAGGTCAGGAGTTACCGGCACAGCAAGGTCAATCGGAAGCGACTAGTCGGCCACAATATCAAGGACATCTCCGCCCACCTGGTAATCAAAGTAACCAGGGTGGGAATCCGAATGGAGCACCGGTGGCAGGAGGTGATGGAGCTTCGGCCATGATGGGAGGGGATGCTACTCTAGAAAGAGGCACAGTCGGAGGTTCTGGGACAAGAGCCCCATAAGGGTTCCAACCAAGCTATGTGGGAGGTATGCCCCCAATTGGCAATGTTCCCGGATGGGGGCAAAGTATCGGTGGAGGGGGAAGTTCGTCGCACGTCAACCCTATCTTCTCGCCAGGTCTGCATTAACACCCCAGCGGTATGTTCTCCTTGGCAGGGGATCCTGCGATGAACATGGGTGTTCACCCATGGATGCTGCATCTTCAACAACAGTGGGCCTTTGCCCCGTACAACAATCCAAGTGTGCAGCCTGGTCTCCAGCAGACAGGAGGAACGTCAGCTGTAATGCAAAATGTACCTTCACCGGTGACCGGAAGAGCATCAGCAAACGGCACGGCCGCCTGCGGGAACTTCAACAGGAGGAGGACAAGAGTCGGTTACTCCGGACATATCGACTCCTCGCTCGAGGGTAATCGGGCTAAGTAAGCAACGACGGCTAGATGGTAGTCCCTCAGCGTCCTCACTGAGGAACGGAGAATGGATCTCACCACCAGGCTCCGAAAATTCACAGAATACAATTATCGGTACGCCGGGGACTAAGACCACGAGAAGAAGAACGCCTGTTGCTGCGTTGCAAAAAGGTCAAATCCAAGGCCTCGAGGTAAGGATTCTACCTCTATTTTGTACCTATGCACGGAATAATCTATGGATTGTGTCCTTTTCGGACCCAGAAGGGACGCAAGCGCTTGTTAACATCGCTTCTCCAGAGCAACCAATGCCCTCCGTGATTCTCAATCTGATCAGAACGGCAATTCGGAACAAGTTTCAACTACGATGGATTGGGGACGAACTGATGGTTAGGTTAATCCTAGATCACCCGGTCCAGCGTGGAAAGAAACTGAAGTTTTTCGTACCGGTTTTTTATGTGAGATTCGAGCTGGGACAGTTAGAGCTTCTGGAAGCTGAAAGGCTATGCCTCTTACCTCTCATGTGGTTGGTGGAGAAACGTCGTCAGGAATTGGCTAGAGTAAGAGTTCCCCCCTTCTGTACTGCAGAAATCTTAGCTGAAGTGGATGGGAGACTGCCGAACCTGAAGAAATTGAACTCACATTTCGTTAAAAACTGGCTTGCCTCTCCCTGGGAAGCACCGAACGAGACCCCACACCCAGACCCCTCTATCCATTCATCAACAGGTGGGGTAGTAGGTAATGTCTAAGTTAAACTTGACATCGTGGAACCTAAGGGGATTAGGGGACACCGCAAAAAGGGACAAACGGGGTAGATTAAAATCATGGGTTCACGATAATAGATGTCATATCGCCTGTCTACAAGAAACTAAGCTTAATGAAGAAAAAATCAATGCGTTGGGCCATTGGTGGGATGGGCCCCAAATTTGGTCCCCTGCCCAGGGCACAAGGGGAGGCACGGCGATATTGATCCATCGAGATGCTAATATTGAGATTATAAATTTCTACTCTGACTTGTGGGGGAAGTGGTGTTGGGTAAAATTCCTTAAGGATGAACAATAGTTTTTGGTGGTTTTTATTTATGCTCCCGTGGTCCGTGCAGAGCGAGTTAACTTTTTTGATGAACTGCTGTATGTAATTCCTGAATGCGATCAGACCATACTAGCTGCAGATTGGAATACGTCGCTAGACGCTACCTCCTCGACTGCACCAAGTGTACGAGATAAGGCTGCATTGTTATCTCTGATGAATAAATTAAATCTCATCGATCCATTGCTGTTGAAAGGCATACCTGTCAAGTCCTTAAAATTAGACCCCTGCATGTGGGAATGGAGGGCTCTGGGAGAAGGGAGTACTAATGTATGCTTGTTGGAATATACGCAGAGTATTGGATATAAAGCTGTCATCTTGAAAAAAGACCCTCTCACAGTGGCTCGTGCTAGATGGCAGGCGTTATTGGACTGTGACCCGAATATAATTGGGAAGGCCTGGAAAACTGTTGGGAACAACTCAAGTTAATTCCTTGTCAACGCCAGGCATCCATATTATGGTTGTTGTCAACGCTGGCCACCCCATCTGCAATGTGGCTAGCGGGGAGGAGAATGGAAGTGGAATTGAAATGCTTACGATGTGAATGGGCATTTGAGTCGACAGTCCACTTGTGGTGGGACTGTCCGGCCTCAGCCAGAATCTGGAAGTGGTGGATAAACATCTGGAAAACGCTACCTGGCCAAGAGTTGGAGTAGGACAAAGTATGGACGTTACTTGGAGGAATCCCAGATAGTCTGTCCCTCACCAAGGGATGAGGCTACACAGCACAGACGGCAAGAGCAGTCCTGTTTTCAGTAATTTGGCAGACCAGGAATGATCAAGTATTTGAAGACAACCAATGGACCAATATACAAATCAGGACTACAGTGATGCAGGGTCTGAGAAGAGCAATCAAGGCGGACTGGCGGAGGAAAGTTATCAAGCCCATCAACAGAATCGGTGACAAGTTATGGTTTCGTCAAACTTGGTGCGTTAACAGTTCCTTTGCCTCGATTGATGGTGAAGGACAACTAGCATTGGCTTCCTGGTTATTCCAACAGTAGGAGTAAGATTCTCAACCTGGGCTGCTCGGTTGCTTATAGCCTCAGGTGGCTGGCAGAAGGGATACTAGTGGAAGGAGCGCCATTAGTACAGTAGACTCCCTCTTTCTAAGCCGGGTTAGGCAAGAGAGAGAGGATTTGATAAGATAGATTGAGGTCCTAGAGACGATAGGGGAAGGAACGGTTCAGGTTCTGTCTTCTTGTAGAATAGTATTCTAGTGACAGTAGAGAGTAGTATAGATGTTGAATTTCAGTAGCTTTTTTTTTTTTAGTTTTGTTCAAGCGGTCGTTTTTTTTTGTTGGCTGACAATTTGGTGGGTTGTGATTGGAGTTTTGGCTTGTAGCTAAGTTTTGTGTTATTTTTCATTTTCTTTCCCAGGGTTGGGATGTGTCAGGACAGCAGTCCAGATTTGGCCATTCTGTCACTAGACCACAAAGTCCCAACGCCTGCACCTAAGTTGGGTAATGGTCCCAGTATTGTCAATGGTCACTTCCGGGTTGTATGTGGGGAATTCCCGGCCCCTCCTTGGAATTTGTGTAATGAAAGAGCAGAGCCTCTCCCTGTCAAAAAAAACAAAAAAAAACAGGGCCAATCCCCTCTGGGGAGCGGACCGTTGATGAGGAGACCGTTATTGGAGGAATGCAAGGGACATGGGGACAGGTCAATCCGACTGGAATGGCGAATGGATTGGGCACGGGGGAGCAACATCTGAGTGGACTAATCGGATACTCAATACCATTGGAACACACGGCGGGCCCTTCAGTGCCTCCTTGGCTGGACAAAATGGATTGGTCATTCAAGGGGGGGGGGGGGGAATGGATTGGTCAGGAGGAAACTAGTATGGGGAAAGGGAGTTTCCTTCGGCAGATCACCAGCAGCGGCAAGACCCGTTGTGGGGTTTAGGGCCGCAAGATGCTTAAATTCACCGCCTGGGACAACAGTTTCAAGACTTGGGTATCCCGCAGGTGCCAATGTGCCCTCGCCCAAGGTACCCATCTAGCTCGTATAATTGGAGGGACTTAGTACCACAGTGCCGAGAGTCCCACCCTGCAACGTCTGGTCCCTCATGGAAATCTGCAAGGCCAGGGCCATCAAGACTTGGCAGAAGACTCAACAGTGGGGATTGGAGAGATCAGGGGAGAACAAATGGGAGTAGCGGTAGGGATAGTTGGAGAGACCAAGGAAGGCGAGGGGAGGAGGGACGGAGAGAACACGATTACATAAGGCATAGAGAGGAGTTATAGACTGGTGCAGGGGTTGGGCTACAGGTCGGATCACAGGCAAGGTCAGGGGATCAAAGAGGTAACAAAAGCGGTTTTTTGAATAAAGCTCTAGAGCAAATAGATGGTGTAGAACGCATCCAAGGGGCCCTATCGAGGACCTCGGCCTCGTCTCAGTCGAGAGTGAGGTGGGGTAGTGAGTGGTATGAAGGAGAGAAGGCATCAGAGTGCTCAGAAGGGGAAAGGTCCTCTATGCTCAGCTCGGCAACAACAAAGACACCAGGGAATGAAGAGATGAGGGGGGAGGACAACCTGTATCAGGACCAGGATCGGAGAGCGGACACCGTACGGAGGAGCCAAGTAGAAAAGGTCCAAAGAAGACTTGTGCCTTTACTCTGCACAATGGTGAACGATGGCATATACTTCCTCGCCCTGGCACAAGCAGACAGAGTGCCTGTGCTACCTTCAGTGGACGTGGATCATTCCCCTACTCCATCTGAAATAGTCGAGTTCACAATGTCTCTGTATGGCCAACACGTTCCGATCCGGCTGATCCCGCGCTCGTCAATGGTGAGTCTGATAGTGGAATCCGGGGAACAGTACTATACATTGTACTTTCCATTGCTGGACGCACGCATCCCACCGGAGATGGCAGATTCACTAACACAAGTTGGAGTAAGGTGGATCCACATGTCGAAGCTGGCTGACCAGTATACAAAAGAACTGGAGCTAATAAAGATCTTACCGGATATTTCGGCTCTCGTCCTAGGAAACGTCAACGAGAAACTGCAGGCAGATGAGTGCCTACTCTCCCCATTCCTCGAGAAATCACTCAATGCAGATTGGCAGATGTTCTCTGAGTCAAACTCATCTAGAGGAAATCCAGAGCTTCGCGCAGATCACGAGGTACCAAAGCGTCAGGGGCGGAAAGACATTCGCAGCAGCACTCGGACCAAGTGCAGACACAGACCCGTATCCAAGACCAGGGGGGAACAGCGGCAACCAATGGACAATCATAAGTTAGTTTCATGGAATACCAGAGGGTTGGAGGATACAAACGGAAGGTTTAAAAATAGAAGCCTCAAGTCATGGATTCACACATGGAATAGGAACTGTGTCATGCTTCAGGAGACAAAGCTTAATGAGGAAAAGATCAGAGATTTGGGACCCTGGTGGGACGGGCCCCAAATCTGGTCCCCTGCACAGGGAACCAGAGGAGGAGTCTATATCCTGTTACACAGGGACCTGCAGGTCCGGGTGATTGACAAGGAGGCGGACATCTGGGGGCGTTGGGCGTGGATGAGAGTGGAGGAGGGAGCGGACGAGTGGCTGCTTATGATTGTGTATGCACCCATGAAGCTAAGGGAAAGAGAGACCTTCTTTAGAAATCTAATATCGAACATTCCTAAGGTGGAGAAGGTTATTTTGGCGGGGAATTGGAACAGGTCTTTGGACGATGCTCTCCACCCAAACTCAGGGAGTGCAGGACAAAAAGACGTAGAGACTTTGCTGCAGTTGATAGAGACTGTGTCTCTAACTGATCCGTTCCGGCTGCTGAACCTGGATGATCCAGGCTTCACTTGGTTCTCCCATCTCCATCACAACAGGCAGCGTATAACCAGACGCCATTTGGACTACCTGCTGGAGTCGGACCGATTGCTGCCCAGAGTGGTAGCGGTAAGGCACACCTGCAATCCATTATCGGACCACAAGCCGGTTTCAACGGAAATCGGGCTGCAGGAGGGCTGTGAAAGGGGCAAGGGGTTTTTCAGGTTAAATAAACAAGTTTTGGAAAATCCAGGCGTTCGGGAATGGGTTGATGACCACATGGCCAGGTGGGAATCTGCCAGAGGGTTCTTCGAGGACACAGCAGAGTGGTTGGATGGTGGACTGACCATCATATCGGGGGTGTTAGATCTATGGTCTAGAGTGCTTGCGAAGGGGAGGAATGCGAAGGAGGCAGAATGCAGGAAAAGGGTAGAGGAAGCAGAGGAGAAAATGGAAACCCACCCCATATCAGCAATGGTATGGGCTGCAGAGAGAGAAGAGAATGGAGGAATGGGACATGACACAACAAGACAAGCATAGAAGATGGACGGAGACACTTAAAGAAAAAGGGATTGAAACTCATGGCTTGATGACTAAAGAAATTGTTCAGAAACTGCAGCCAAGAAGAGTCGCCCATCAGACAGTGGAACTTCGTCACTCCTTTGACAGAAGCGCCCCGAATGCAGCGACGGCTACAAGTATGCTCCACCACGCAAAGTTGTACTACGAAGACATACTCACCTCAAGACAACCTCAAGAGGACCCGACAACGGACCTCTCAGCCACTTCGGATATATGGGATGACAAGAACATTAAGCTGTCCAATAGGGCTAGGTTAGATTTGGACCGACCAGTAACTTTGGAAGAACTGTCTCAGACAGTCAAGTCCATGGCCAAGGGAAAATCCTGAGGCATTGATGGCTTAACTGTGGAATTTTACAGCGCAACTTGGGGCTCGATGAGCCCAAGGCTAGTTGATCTGTACAATCTGATTTTGGTAGATGGCTATGTGGCACCCAAGGCCACGGATCCTGCGGCCTAGGTCGCGCGACTGAGTTTCCGCGCGGCCGTGCCACAGCCAGGTGGAGGCGCTCGCGGGAAAATGGGGCGCGCGCGCAGCCTGCTCACGTCGGCCTCTAACGACATGCACAAAAAAAAATTAAAAAAAATTGAAAATTTGGGGGGTGGTTTTTGGTAAGTAGCAAAAATAATTAAAAAAATAGAAAAATAAATAAATATTCATTGATTGATTGTTTTTTTTTATTGATTGATTGATTGATTGATTAATTGGTTGATTGATTGTAGTGGTTATGAGACTTCGTTCCTGTGGCAGAGGGTGCCGGTTCAAGACCTGATGGCCATAACATTCCGGTGGAATCCAACTGTGAAATGCGCCTGTGGAACCTGCG